TTATAGTGGGTGGGTGTGTCTACATTAACACTGCTGTGGCTGCTGCCTAGATAAGAGCCTCAGCACAAGACGTCCATATGAATGTCAAGATAGGACGTTTAGGACCAACAGCTGTTTGTGGAAAGCACTGCTCGCATACAAATTTGTCTGAGCCAGCTTTGCAATGCCACAGTCCCACTCGTGCATGACAGGACTCAAAGCAACCCTCCCCAATCTACAAAACCCTGACCTTTTTTTTTTGTTATGCTCGTACCAACTAATGCCCGTGTTACTTAAACCAACATCAATTTTCCTTTACTATAATGGGAGCAAGTGAGGGCCTCCACCTGTTAGTGCATTGGTGATAGCCAAGCAGCATAAATGGTCTACTGAACTTTTCCCTTGAACTTATTTGGGAAGGGAGAAGAATCCCTGCTCTGATCTCATACATAAATGGCAAAACTCCCCCCCCCCCCCCACTTCAGGCACAGTTCCCACTTTATGTGCAGTCAAGCAGGAGTGCAGCAGAACTGATGCTGAACACATTGTTCTGAAAAAAAAAATCTTTATGAGTGTATTGAACCTCTTTTTCAGTTCTGGGAGGTGATAAGTGATGAACATGGGATTGACATCGCTGGAAACTACCATGGGGATGCATCACTGCAGCTTGAGCGAATTAACGTGTACTTCAATGAGGCTTACTGTAAGTACTCAGCACTGTTTGGGTGTTGGCAGAGCAATTTGCAGAGCCAACATGAAAGTTAAAATAAGTAATTTAAAAATTATATATAAAAAGTATATCCCCAAATCATTGTAGGTGGGTTGGATTTTTCAGAGTAGTTTATAAGCCTGTCTCTCTGACTGCAAACAGTAATTGTTCACATTCATTTTCTTTTGTCCTAGCCCATAAATACGTGCCCCGTTCTATCTTGGTGGACCTGGAACCTGGTACAATGGACAGTGTACGGTCTAGCAAAATAGGCCCACTCTTTCGACCTGACAATTTTATTCATGGTATGTACAGCATGCTGTCAGCAAACTAATTAGAGTCAACTGTCCCAAAACAGCCTTTTAACTCCCATCTTTGTAGTCTTTAAAAATTGCCTTGTTAACTTTGTGGCTGTTCTTTCTGTAATTCTGTTCACAGGTAATTCGGGTGCTGGAAACAACTGGGCTAAGGGCCATTACACAGAAGGCGCTGAACTGATTGAAAATGTCATGGATGTGGTCAGGAATGAGTGTGAGAGCTGTGACTGCCTTCAGGGATTCCAGCTCATCCATTCACTTGGTGGTGGTACAGGGTCAGGTATGGGCACGCTCCTCATCAACAAAATAAGAGAAGAATATCCCGACAGAATTATGAACACTTTCAGTGTTGTGCCTTCACCCAAAGTATCTGACACAGTCGTAGAGCCATATAATGCCATCCTCTCCATCCATCAACTAATAGAGAATACAGATGAAACCTTTTGCATTGACAACGAAGCTCTATATGATATATGTTTCAGAACTTTAAAGCTCACTAATCCCACCTATGGTGACCTCAACCACTTAGTGTCCCTAACGATGAGCGGTGTCACAACCTCACTCCGTTTTCCTGGTCAACTGAATGCAGATCTGAGGAAGCTGGCTGTTAACATGGTGCCCTTTCCTCGCCTGCATTTCTTCATGCCGGGCTTTGCTCCACTGACAGCTCGAGGTAGCCAACAGTACAGAGCCCTCTCAGTGCCAGAGCTTACTCAACAAATGTTTGATGCACGCAACATGATGGCAGCCTGCGACCCTCGTCGTGGACGTTACTTGACCGTGGCATGCATCTTCAGAGGCCGAATGTCTACTAGAGAAGTGGATGAGCAGCTGCTGGCTGTCCAGACCAAGAACAGTTCCTACTTTGTGGAGTGGATCCCTAACAACGTCAAAGTGGCTGTGTGTGACATACCACCGCGAGGCTTGAAGATGGCAGCTACCTTTATTGGCAATAACACAGCCATTCAGGAGCTCTTCATCAGGGTTTCTGAGCAGTTCTCAGCTATGTTCAGAAGAAAAGCATTTCTCCATTGGTATACTGGTGAAGGTATGGATGAGATGGAGTTTTCTGAAGCAGAAGGTAACACCAATGACCTTGTCTCTGAGTACCAACAGTACCAGGATGCCACTGCAGATGTTGAGGAATATGAAGAGGTAGAAGTGGAAGCCAGCCCAGAAAAGGAAACACTGTAAAACCAATGGTAATACCAAAATATTCTCCAAATAAGCCTGTTGACACTCACTAAAGAAAAAGCAGTAGCCATCATCTGCATACCAAAAATAACATCTTTCTTAAGAATTTTTTCTCTGCATCTGGCCAAAATATATCCAATATTACAATACAATGCTTTTGAAATTAATGGCAGCTATGCTTTACTCTCCCAAGCAACTGCTGACACTGAATCTCTCCCAAAAAAAGAGCCACCATGAAGACAAGTTGTCTCATAACAGCCTTTTTTATAAATGTACTCACTTTTAGAATATTATCACCGGATACCAAATGTAATACACAGCCTCTGTGTCTGTATATATATATATGTCAGGATCATAAGCAACAGAAAAATATGCTTTCAACTCATCAAATTTATTTATTCTCACATAAACACAGTCCATGTTGTTTGTGAACTTGTTGCTGTTTTAGGAACACACGCGTATCTGTATGGCCTAGAAAGGCAGTATCTATTTTATTACGCACTCCACAGACTGATGTACATCGGCAGACAAGTTGAGTTCCTTACCTTGCAGGGGAAGAGGAAACGTGGGGTAAAAGACTGAATATGCACATTTTTACTTTTTTTTTTTTTTAGTGCTTCAATAGTTCTATCACATTGCTGGCTTATATTATTGCAGAGTTAGTATTCATTATCATTGTGTGCTTTGTTTCTATTTCAAACTATAGATTGATTTATATTAGCATACAAAGTTGTGAACACAGTGTAAAAGTTTTGGTGCTTCCCGCCCCCCTCCATACTAACTACTGTGAATTTTCTTGCTATCATTCAGTACAGCCACATGGACAGAATGGTTTGCTGCTAGTTAGATACAAGTTCAACAACAATCACTAAATCAAAAACATATCTTGCCTTCTGGAAAAAAAGATTCTTGTACTTAACAGCCATCTACTTAAGACTGTATTTTTAATATTCTTTAAAAAAATTATATACCATTCTATAAAATACTTTAATACTTAAAACATTTGATAGATAAAAATCATAGTTTATTCTTGTAAGGACTAACTTTAAATTACATGAAAAAATTGAGCTTGTTTTATTATACTCTTAGAAGACACAGTTTATTACACTCTGAAGAAAGTAATGCCTCATGTTTGAGTCAGCAGCACAAGTGTCTAGGTGAACACAAACCCAAAGCCAATTCTGTAAGCATGCTGCATTTCTTCCTGGGCCCATGGAACAATGTTACACCTGCAGCAGGAACATGCAAACACTTCCCCCAAAGCCACGCAGCTGGAAGGATGACTTTGCCCCCCTAGCCAAGATCAGGTGGAGCGTCGCCCTCCATTCCTACCGTTTCCCAGTGAATGCGTGTCCCTCTCCCCCCCCCCCAGTAAAGTGACCGAGTGGCAACAAGAAGGACACCCAATAGCCGAGTGATCAGAGTACAGTCCAGGGATTCCTGCGCCTCCTTTTCCACCTCTTAAGGACACCAGGTCTCCAGCTCCTGCTTCACCGCTCAGTATTCCAGACAGCTTTGGTGATCAGATCCCATGCAGTACATCCATGGCAAAATACCCTGCTTCCAGTTTAGCTGTAACCCTAAGCTCGATTAAATTGATCTTCACTGAGTTAATTGTGTTCTAAGCACAAATGGACGATGAACACCATGATGACAGAGAATTTTAAGGCCAACAGCATACTGCTTCCAGTGGATAGAACCAACAGAGGTATTTTTAATTATCAAGATTATATGCCTGTACTCTCTGTTAACATATGTTTTAGTGAAGAAAACTTTTTTCCAAAGTAATCATTAATCATTGAAATGAAGTAGGCAGAAAAGTTTTAAACAACAATTAAATCTCTTACTCATTTACATACCTGAAATACCAGCATGAAATCCAACAAGAAGTTTGCCTTAAAAATAAACAAATGTTGCTACTGAGTGGTAGACTGGTAAAAACAGTCTTCTACTTTAATACAAGTGAAAGATACATGCCTCTGCAAAATGGAGTACTTAGTTTCAAAGGGGAACAACATTTTCCACACATTCATTTGTTTAACAGAAATTGCGTTTATTAGCATGCTGATTTACATACAGAGGCAAGTTTTACAGTTAATGTGATGCCGTTATATTGCAGAGTCTTGAGCTTGCCCACAGCTTTGCCGTTTGTTTTAGAGTATTCACCACAGAGCAGTTCCTATGAGATTTAAAATACAAGTTATTCAATTCAAGAATATGTACAAGGTAGGCATCAAACAAAAGGTAGTAATATTTTTTCTCAGACCATGAATAGAAGCTTTTAGTTGCCCATGATGTATGCAACGTCACAAATAAAAGTACAAGTAGCATCTATATTTCAAACAGTAAATAAACCTGACACAAATAAGTCTGCTGATTAGGGGAAACAGTAGTTCAGAGAGGCTGTCTGCTGGCTTAGTAAAGTAAGAGAAGCAAACCTATGAACATCACTACAGAAACTCAGTTGTTTTGCCTAAGTCCGCAACAACTTAGACCAAACCCCAAATCGTTCAAAGCTGGGCTTGATGGATAGAACAGCTCACCTTACTGAGCTAATGAGATTAAGCAATGTCCTATCCCACGTGTAATTAGGATGCAGAGGCATCTGCACACATTTGCACTAAACCAGTCAGCAATCCATTCCAGGTTCATGTATGGAGATCAGAGCTGATTTTCCACATACAGCACAAATGAATCAAGCAGTTAAAGACCGTCCTTGACCCGACTTACACTGGGAAACCAACACTCCTCGTATCAAAAGCTACCATAAGGCACCCCAGCCCCCTCAATTTACTTACATTTTATTCCTTCTTGGGTTTCACAGTTTTCACGGTGGCCATTGCCGCCCTCTCTGCCTCTGCTTTGTACTGAGGCTTCATTGCAGCTCTAACAACCTGGGCACAGATCTGGGAATACCGGATGTAACTAAAGACGGGACAGAAAACGAATGTGAGAATCAAGTCCGCCCCAAAAGCTTCTCCACTCCCTCCAGAGGCACTGCTGTGACGCCGCCAGCCCTCCCTGCGACGCCCTCGCCCCCAGCCGTTATAGCTATCCCAAGGAAGTCGCGAGAGGAGCCCTGTCGCCGCCAGGCGGGTACCTGAGCCCGGCCTGCCGCCAGTACGCCACCATTGCTGCGGGCTGCGGCTCCGAGAGACAGAGGGGCAAACAGGCGGGTCGGCTCCCGGGCAAGGTCAGCGCCCACCGGAAGAGGAAAGACCACATGGAAGGATCCTTCCGCCAATCGGAATCCGAATTACCTCAGCGAGTCTGACCAATGGCAACTACCCATCGCTCCTCCACTCACAAGCTCTCTCCTCTAGCAGCGACCAATCAGAGGGCTGAGTAACGCACGCGACTGCCGGCCTTTCCTCCTGAGGCGCGGCACGCGCGCTGGCACTGCGCTGCCAGAGCTCAGGGCTGGTGTGCTGCTCCTTCCGCCAATCGGAATCCGAATTACCTCAGCGAGTCTGACCAATGGCAACTACCCATCGCTCCTCCACTCACAAGCTCTCTCCTCTAGCAGCGACCAATCAGAGGGCTGAGTAACGCACGCGACTGCCGGCCTTTCCTCCTGAGGCGCGGCACGCGCGCTGGCACTGCGCTGCCAGAGCTCAGGGCTGGTGTGCTGCAAGGAGTCAGGAGGCGGGGGGTCGTGGTGCTGTCCTCCCGCAGGCACAGGGATATACATGGCCAGCACCACACTACACCGATGTGTTTCTCCCAGTTCCCCCAGGCAGAAAGGGTTTGAGAAAGGTTTGGGACCTTCCCGATTTCCGAAGGGACAATATTCCGTATATAATAAGGAAAAAGTTATGATAAGGAACCAATTTGATCCTAATCTAATGTTCATTTAAATAATTAGGACTAAGGACTTAAGGAGATTACGGATTGGGTTTTTATTAAATCCTTGCATTTAAATATGTATACCTCTTCTCTCTATTCTGCCCATCCAGAGCCAAACCACATCACAAAATATGTAAGAATGCCTCAGAAGCTGTACAGGTCTTGAGGAAACGCTGATGACTTTGGTCCTCTTAGAACAGAGACCTTGTGTTTTTTTTTTGATTTTGGTACCTGTTGAAGTGCAAATCCCTGGAAATCACATGATGATTTTACATCACTATGCAGTGATGTTTTCACTTACAGTACATTTTTAAAGCATAGACTAATTTTCAGCTTTATTAGAGATCTCACTTAGTCCAGAGCCTTTGCAATTAACAATCCACACGTCATAATATCAGTATAGATCCACCAGAACAAAATGAGCAATCGTTCACCAGATATGTCAGAGTCTGTCTCCAGGATAGCATATGACAGTAAGAGAAGATTGCGTATTAGTGTAATTAATAGGAATACCAATCAGAAAGAAAGAGTGGGGAGACGAAAAGCATTTCCTGTCTTTAATTTGCCTACTTAATCTCTCTACTGAAGAAGACTCTAGATAGTGCCAGTTGTAATGATATTTTTGAAATGGATGCTACATTACACTAGTTCCTTCCATCTGGACTAGTGATTTGTGGGTTTTTTTATATATAAATGCTAAACAACGTTGCTTCTATTGAACTTGGTGTTCATTTCTAAAATCCGTGTATTGCAATCTTTCCTACCTAATTTTAAAGAATTAACTAGTATAAATGAGGCAGAAAATAATTCTTATTTCATGCATTTATTATTTTTTTTGTGTGTGAGCCATTTTTTATCCTGATTTTGAGACAGACATGGCATATTGGAGCAAAACTTTCCAACTTGTAAAAATTAAATCACTTAAAAATATTTGTTATGTCAGCGCTTTTTTACACAGAAAGGGTGCCAGTGATACAATATTGAAACAAAACATGCTTATTTTCTAAAACCCGACTATAGCAATGATAACAAAAAGATACAAGAAAGCACCAAAGATTTAAGGAAGCCCCTCTCTGCTACCTTTGCAACATATTTGATGCAACACAAGTAACTGCACTAGTCACCTATATTGGTAAAGAGGATGTTATATACAAACGCTGTTTTAATGGTAACATCTGATGACTTGATAGGTAAAATAATTATCAATAAGATTATTTTAAACCTCATGGGCAGCCCAGGTCATAAACATGGCTTGGCAGAAAAAAATTATGCTAGCAGAGTTGGACATCTTTCTTCCAGCTACATGTCCCTCTGTTCCTGCCCCACACCTTCTCTGATTCTTCTCCCTACCCCTGGTCTCTCACCTGCTCTTTTCCCCCCATTTTTCTTTTCCCACCACATCTCTCTCTGTACCTCCATGTAAAATGCCTCTACCTGCAACTATGTGCAATGCACTCAGAGTTAGATCCTTAATGGAGATATACAACTTTGATACAATTATTTGTGCATTTAGATCTATTTACAACTTGTTGATCTTGACAGATAAAAATTCAGCATGAATTAAAAAAGTTAAACTTTTGGGAGAGGTACCATGCTGAGACAGAATGGAAATTAGATTAGTGACAGAAATTGTGCTCTACAAACATTCCAGAATATATATTGATGTTTATGCAGCTGTAAACAAGGCACCATTATAGATTTGTACGACCTGTTTTCATGCCCAGCTCTGTTTAGATGCTAGGATATATTTGTAAAGCCCTAAACTCTCCTCAGATAAGAACTTTCAGAGACAGAACTTGGGAAAGAGCGCGTAAAAGAGGAAAGTTTAGAAAGATATAGAGAGGTTGCAGAGAGAAGAAGGGATACGTTAAGAGGGTTAGATGCAGATATCAAGAGAAGCTGAAGCGGTGTGATTAGCAACATCCAGAAATGTGAGAGTGGACAGGTCTGGGGGAACTAAAGGTGTGAGATTAGAAATGTCCAAAGAAACTGAGGAAGTGAGGGAAGCAGCATTCTGAAAGGTGAAATTGGAGACGTCCAGAAAAGGCGTAGGGATGAGATTAGAAACATTCTCAGAGGTCGTTGAGGATAATTCAGAGGATCCCTGAAACATAAAATAGTTAAAATCAGTGAGATCTAGTGATTCTGAAGAGGTCAAGGAGGTGTGCTCTGAGACACCTAGTGAGGATGGAGGGATTGTACAGGAAAAGTCCAAGGAAGTTGAGGAGGTGTGACTGGAAACATCGAGGGAGGATGAAGACGTGAGACTGGAGAGGTCTAGAGAGGGTGAAGAAGTAGGACTGGAGAAATCTAGGGAGGGTATAGAGGTGAGACTTGAGAGATCTAAGGAGATTGAAGAACTATCGCTAGGGAGATCCAGAGAGCCCGATGAAGTGAGACTTGATAGATCCAGTGAAATTGAAGAGGTGAAACTGGAGCGCTCCCAGGAATCTGAAGAGGTGAGACTGGAGAGCTCTAAGGAGATTGAAGAGGAGGTACTGGAGAAGTCCGAAGAGGCTGAAGAGGCGAGACTTGAAAGGTCCAGAGAAGATGAAGAAGTGAGACTGGAGAAGTCCACAGAGGATGAAGAGCTCAAACTGGATAAATCCAAAGAATCTGAAAAGGGGATTTTAAACAGTTCCAAGGAGGCTGAAGTCTTGACACTGGAGGGGTCCAGGGATGCCAAAAAAGTGAGACCAAGGAGGTCCAGGTAGACTGGAGCGATGACACTGAAAAGCCAAGTAAATCCATGGCATGACTGGTGTTAAATCAGAAGTATTTTAAACTAAAGATCTCTAATAACATGCCAAAACCAAACAAAAAGAATAATGAACCCAAATAATATTACTTTTGAAAATAACTAAGCATACAGTTTTAATCTTTATGTCTCTTAGCAGTTTCTCTTTTGGTGCAGAAAAACTCTAGTAATAAGAGCTCACAGACTTATTTAGAACAGAGCTGCTTCCCAGAGGACCAGTACAGAAGTACAAGTGCAGAATAATACATACAGTAGCAGACTTTCTTTTGTCCTGGCATGTCTCTCCTTGTTCAACCAGATTTTAGCATCTATGATAGCCTGACAAAGAATACCCTCCTGTCAAATGCCATCTCCCTGTCCTGAACGTCTGGAATAAAATAATAGTTATGTAATAGAATGGAAATTAAAATGTTTTTGTTCTTCTTTTCCAGATACCGTAGGATATTCAGATACTAGGCTGCTTACTGGTTATGGAGAGATATTTTTTTTAAAAAGCAAACACAGTTGTAAATGGCAACAAGTCAAACTGGGCCTCTGACTCTAAAGGTATGAAGGATTATTTCCTTTTGATTCGTAACCTCTAACTAAAAAAATGTGGATCTTCCTGATGATGCTAACAAAAATGGAAAAGAGTATTTTTCTCTGTAGTGCATGCAGGATTTATTTTTGGAAGCTATCAATATGCCAAACTGATTCTGTGACTAAGAAATACACATTTCAGCAACATCAGTTCTACTTGTTTTTCAGATAAAAAGACGTCTTGTTTTATTACTTTTATTTTGTACCTCTGGACATAAAACCTGTACTGTAATAACAGCATTTTTAAATTTGTAGTTAACTTGAATTGTTTAATAAAAATATCCGCAAGAGAAGTTCTGATAGAAGGCAGACATCTAATTAAAAAGGGAACAGAACAGCTTATATTTCAGTTCATAAAGGTGCATCTAATTATAGTATGAGTAGATCAAGAGGCTGATCTACAGCTGCTTTCTTTCATCTCAAGACTGTGCTGCAAAGCAGAGAGTAGGTGAAACCTGCTGTTGTCTTCCCAGATATAGGCACAGGAATGCACATAAAGTTTTTCAGAGAGTCATCACAAATGTATATTTTATGGACCAAGAAAGAGAAAGATACATACATACAGGAGGCTGCAGCTTCTCAGGTGAATACACCCAAGCTGCCCATGTTATTACACAACTGATGTCCAGATGCGTGTATAATGGATTTAACATAATCACCATGGGTGGAACTCCCACTGAGGTCACCTCTTAACTGAAGCAGGTGTCTGCTGAACACAGACTGAAGTTGACCGGAATGATGTCTTACTATGCAAGTATTAAAATTGTGGGGATTTAGCACAACACAAAAATTACCAAACTAAAAAAAAGCTGCTTATGTACCATTGATGAGACCCCAAATAGTTCTTCAATACACTTAGTATTTTTTCATAATGCATCTGTAATTTGAGAGCTTGTGCAACATGGTTGTAATTCTATCAAGAGTACAATATTTATAGATCAAAAGGCAAAACGAATTTTTCATTATT